AGCTTACATTTTGCTGAACCTTGTCCACCACACGTCTCTATTTACATGTGTTTTTACTCTTTCTGCACTTGAACTTTCACTCTGTTCACGTACATCGTGCCGTACACTGAAACGCTATTATTATTTTTATCTACTCATTGGTTTAACCCTTGAGTGGGTAAACAAGTTGCCGCAGTATACATTCTAACATTTTCTCCTGTACAATTTGTTGCTATCCTTTTATTATCGTTGTTATCAGTGTTTATTATTATTCTCGTGAAAATTTGTCGAAACTGTTTTCAATCATACCTTTCCGTCGATTCGTGCTTTCGAAATGAAAAACTTAGGCAAACATATAGTAACAATGAAGTCTGATCAAACATGAATATTTTGATCGTTAACATAAGGATAAAGATTAAACGCTTCCTCGCAAACGTTAAATTGAATAACTTCGAATCTAAATAATCGCAATTCGTTCATCGATTCGATTAATTATCTTCATCGAAATGTTTTCTTGAGGTTGAAACTTAATTATACCAGAACGTAATTATATCTAAATATTTTTTCATTCCCATTTCCTTTCCCATATAATTTCTGATCTTACGAACCTTTCAATTAAAATCCAATTGCTAATACATACATCTAATTACTAAAATAAATGATCACAGTAAACATCAGTGATTTGCAAAGCTTTCCACGGTAGTTGCATAAGTTCGAAGATCTATGGTAGTTAGGGGATAAAACGAATTCGTCGAAACAAATTTGCATAAAGACGAGAAGGAAATTTCCCCAGAATAATACGTACAAGATTATCTGAGTATTTTAATTCCTTGGAAATGCATAGAGGCGAGAATAATATCGTATAGATTTCAAGGATGTAGATTCGCGGAGAATGGCGAAACAACGATTACGGAAGCGAAGAAAAAACCGAAGAAAAATCCCGTCGAAGCGAGCGTTCCCGGTCACTAGATCTCGTATAAACGCGAAACTCACAAAAACTACGATAAGCGAAACATTTAACGCCGGTTACTTGAATCTCCCGGAATTCGATGACTCCATGAGAACGATGTAAGTCGAAACTTAGCTGCGGATATACAGGATAATGGCGTCTCGAAGATCGGTAACATCTAAACCGTTTCGTCGCGAACTCGAATTCATCGACAATCATCAAAATCAGATTTGCACCCTCCGATCTGTAATAATTAATGTTAGATTCCTGGAACCAGCTAATTTCGCAGATATTATGTTTCATAAGCATAATCTGGAGAAGTTTATGTTGAGGGTGTTCCAATTATACGAATACTCTGTTTAATATACTAACTTTTTGTTTTTCAAGCTCTAATATCTGAAATATTAGTGAACACCTATTTTTCTAGAGATAATGGTAAAGTGTATAATAAATGCCGGTAAATATAGTATTAATATTAATTGTCAAATACAAATATTAATAAACAAAATATTAATATTAATGAATATGAATTGTCAAACGGATTAAAATGTGTCGTTTTGACTTCTATCTCTTCCAATTGTTGTATTGATTTAGCAATGTTGTCTAAAGTATAATTAGAGATGTTAATAATCTTAATAAATACACTCGTAGCATTTGTATAAGGAAACGACAAACTGTTAATTTGATTAGTTCCTAGCTCTATTCCCAAACATTCGTTATTTGGCTTTGGAAGTAAAATACGTTCTCTAAATAGTAGAATGTTTCTTACAATAACTAAAAAGTCACCCGTGACGTTTAAAGTTTTTATATCTCTCGCAGAACGAGTTACAGAATGTTTTATTGATATTCCCGTTTACACGTTTTAAACATATATCTTTCAATATATCATTAACAAATTCAGTATGTAAGATTACGAATGTTCCATAACATGTTTAATAGTCCGTGCAACTGTCTTTTTAATTCTGTAATTACTTGAAGAGTTCGTTTGATTATATGAATAGATGAAATAAAAATTACCATTATTCATGGGTCGTTATCGAACGAGAAAATGATTAGCCTCAGAAGAAGCTACCAAATGTGGCGCACTGTCGTCAATGCGTTAATACCTCGTGTATCGATACGAAGCATTAATAATTCCGAGTCTCTTTAAACACGGTCATTCAATATTTGCTCGACAATAAAGCCGTTATCAATTTTAAGGCAGCATATCTTTAAAACAGGATCGTTAGCGGGAAGAATTTGAGCTGCAGATTTTCTAAGATAACAGGATTACCGTGCGGTCGAATTTTCTTTTCCTTCGTTTCAACCCTTAAATGCTACAGATGGTTTCTTTAGCATAAATGAATGCCAACGCATATATAAAAACATAAATTATCCATAATTTCAATGATTAAACATTATCGTGAAAGCAGATACAGATAAATAAAAACTAAAAGGTTTTGACCTCTGTAAGCCAAATCTTTTATTCGTGACTATACAAAATTTTATGTAGTATGAAATTAATACATATCAACCTATACATATGCAAATTGGCAATAGTTTTAATAACTTCATTAAACCAAATATACTTTGCAACTACGAAGTTAGAACGATGTCGAACGTTTATATAATACCTGTGTGTATAAAATTTTAAGTTTAAGATTTTTCTGTGACTTCAAAGTCATAGGCCTACAGAGAGTTAACCTTTTGCACTCGTATGTCAAATGTGACTGGACATCGGATTTATTTAAAAGTATGCTTCTCCGTCGAGACATTTTTACATTGTATTACATTATTGCACTACTTTCAACAGCATTAATAAAATGAAATGTTTACACTGTTTTCTAGTGACTAATTGTCTCTCAAAGTGCACTTCAAATGAAACATTTCAAGTAATATGAAATGATCGAAAAGAAAATGCAAATTAATATTACCTTATAATTATAGTAAAATTATAGAGTTCGATATTTAACCCTTCGTCCTGCCTTTTATTTCAAAATTGTGCTCTAATAAGACTACTTTATCAATAATAATTTAATAGAAAAAGGCAAAAATTTGAATGCTTATTTTTCGTCTACGTTTACTTTAAAGATTAAAGATTGATAATAGACAAGTAATATTTCATTTGTCCGATTAAATAAATAATGTTTAGATTGATCGAATTCGGTTAAAAATTTTCATCACAAGTCTAACTTCTTATTATAGGTGAAGAGATTAATATTAAATTTTGTATAATACATCGACATGTGAAATATTGAAATAAAATATCTTTGTTCCTTAGTTTACGTGTGATTTCTCTTCAAGTGAATTCAAGTGTAAAAAGTATCGTTCGCGTCTCATCAGAAAATGTTGAATATAGTAAGTTCTCATATAACGCGAATTCCTAGAACGCGACAAAGATATTGCGGCTACTGTTTTCACATAACGCAGCGTTCCTACAACGCGCCACATAATAAACACAGGAATCACGTGATTTAAGAATTAAATCCGCTTTGGTTGAGCATTGGATTGCGTTCTTCATCATTAAACATGTTACTTTAGATTATGCGTGTTCTACGAGAAAAATTTCCGCACAGCACGATTTCCTATAACGCGAACTCCTCCAACACGTTGCACATTAACCAGTTAACTGCGTTTGGCGAGTATACGTGTTATCTTAAAGCTTGAAATGATACTAATCTTTTCAACGGAGAATTATTTATTTTTTCACATACACATGTAATTCTTTGTTTTGCTTTAGGTTTTCATTAAAATATACCCTAGGCGCATTCGTCCGGTGTTTGACAATTACACCCTTCATTTTTTCATTGTATTGCGCGAAAAACGAGATTTTTCAAACTAAATTCCACAGTTAAAAGGTTAACCACGTTATACGGGAGTCTACTGTATTTCTAGCGAACAACTTCTAAGTGATAAAGGCGTATACACACAAGCGACGCGATCTCGTTGCGATGACGCTGTGCAATTTTGGAAGAACAAAGACGTAAAATTCTCTTATCCTTTTTTTTCGTGAGACAGAAGAACTTTGTTTCGTTACGTCACAAACAATCGCTGTGGCATTGCAGCGGGATTGCATCGCTCGTGTGTATAGGCTTTAAGGGTTCATTCACAATCCGTCAGGAGCGAACGATGCGCAGCGACGGTGACCTGATACTTTTCCTCGCGACTGGCTACTTCCTTCGTTTTCTCGCCGGCGTATCCGGCCGACGCGCTTGCGATTTCCGGAAGCGAGTAAGGCGAGCGAACTTCATTCTCGAGAGGCCTTGACGGCGTGCTGCTTACAAATCGCCGCGTATCACGTGCACAGCTAACGTACACGTGACTTAAGAATTTTGAGCATCATAATTCTGTAGTTGTGTCTCGAGAACCTCGATTCGATTCGATTCTCAGATTATCGTCTGTACAAAAGAGTCTACGAAAGTATTTAACAGTAGAACCACCGAGCGGTTAAGCCTTTGCAATCAAAAGCTTTCCACTAGAAATATTCAACACTTTCTGATGAGATATAGACGATATACTTTGGAACCAATTAATAGATAAATTAAGAAACGAAGTTGTTCTGCTTCAATATTTCACGTATCGATGTATTATACAATGTTTAGTACTATATATGACTTTATAATTTTGATATATTTTAGCGAGTGGTAACTGAGAATCACCTTTCGAGTGGAAAGGGTTAATATGATTAATATCTAATTCTTGTAAAGATTGAAACAATACATTATTTTCGGTTTCTTGCGATGAGAAAATACAGAACCGAAATCCAGAACCGAAAAATAACAGTTATACCGGTATAATATCGGATACGAGGAACCATACCAAAATCGATATAGCTCAGAACTTTACCTCATAACAGTTATAGCTTCATCCCGGTTTTCTATGACTGTTTTAGTGGGAACCGATATATAACAGGTTCAAACAGTTATTTTCAGAATCTTTTCAGTTCCCAATTATAAGCTAATATTTGCCAAGACTGTTGTAACATATGTTGAGTAAGAAGGAAGACAAAGGAGAAAACAAAGGGTAAATCATAAAAGTAGAGGAGTCGGTCGTGTGATATAAAAGCACTTACCGATACAAGTCTTGCACTTACGTGTTGCTCTCAATCCGTTGCTGGTTGTACCTCTGATGAAAGTCAAGCAGTTCCTGTATCAGACCGGTCTCCAGCATGGCATCGACCCTGCTGCTCAGCCGCTCCTCGAGGACTGTCTGCAAAAATTTCGGAGAAAAGAAGGCTCGAATTAATTAACCCGCTCCGTATCGACGTGTATCGTACTCCTTTCCAGAAACGCTCCATCATCGGATCGCTTTCGACTATTATCTTTACTTGTCTTTTACCCGTTTTCTTATCATTCGATTTTGCTAATCCTTTTTTCCCTTTTCCTGTTCCGTTCATCAAGATCTTTCGCTTTTACACCGGATGATCGGTTTTTAGACTATGTATCGGTTCGTCTCTGTGAATTCAAGCGAATAATCGATACCGTGCGACGATATACACCTGATCTTCCATATACGCGGAACTCTATTCACAGGAATCTCCTTTTTACATGGTGAATTGTAACACTGTTTACGTGATATTGTTTATAATCCAGATCCGAATCTGGGCTACTGGTGATACCGAATAACATTTACTTTTATTTTCTGAAATGTTATTATTATTATCTTTCTGTTCGGCTTTGCGAAAGAAATATGTATTCCTGAAACTTATACTAGCTCTGTTTTACAACGTTTTATTTTCTTTTGTATTGAAAAGATGTTGAGTTCTTGAGTTCACTTCTAGACATTATGTCTTAAGAATATTTTCATAGTATCTCGAAAACGCCTTATGCCAATTGGTTAGTAACACTAAAACTACCGTGCAGTTAAATTGACTTTTTGAAATTTCTCTGCAGAAACTCCAAGAGTGCATCTACTGAAACTTTAATTGATTTACAATTTAGTTTGCATATCGATGAATCAATGTTTTCAATAATTTCTCAGAGAAACATCTGTTATCTTTTTAATAATTACAAAAGGAAGAAATCAAGAATGGGCCATTTTGATCTGTCTAATAGTTTTAGTGTTAATAAAAGTTTAATAATAAATTTAAAGTGAATTTAAATTAAAATTAGTTATAGTAAAGAGAATTCACATTTCATATATCTTCATCGAGATGAAAATCATTCGGAAAATGTTTGTCGTTAACGTTATTGTTCGAATGCGTATTCATCGCGAGTTCAAGTTCGACGCGGAGGCTAGCGAAACGACCCGGAAGACTTGTGCGGCATTCCAAACTGATTATGTAAGTGAACGTACCGCGTAAAAGTGGTTCAAAAAATTCGGAACGGCGGATGAGAGAGTCGAGGATGAGCTGAGGTATCATTAACGATGATGATTTGCAGATACGCTATTAACGATGAACCAAAAACAATGTATAAACTACACAGAGTTTCAAAATCTTGTCCTCAAGGGATGAGGTTGCAAGAAAAACCATGAAGAAAAAAAGACCTCAATTGATGAACCGTAAGGGCGTCTTGTTTCTGCAAGATAAGACACGGTAAAAGTTGCACTAAAAAAGATGTTGATGAGTTCGACGAATTTCACTTAATTTTTCATATTATAAAAATCTTTCGGTAATAGAACAGCGAGTGTCCTTGCTCGTAGAAAAATTTTCTTTAATGCAATAAACAGTTTCAAGTGGTACACGAACGAAATTGTAATCATTAAAACGATTAACACATTAGGTGCCATCATTGTATAAAAATCATTAACTCTGAAATATCCTAAGAATATTAACATTGTATGAAAAATATTAACGTAAAACAAATTATACGTTTATGAATACTTTTTGCAAATTTTTTATTGTTATTCTCATTTTAACGACGAAGCATCTAAAGAAAATATTTAAACAATGTTATATGTAGAGTCATGTCATTCATGAATGAATGACTTGGCAGCTGATGTGTCAAAGAAATTGAAATCAGTTCACGACTGTTTCGAGACACTTAATACAAAATGCAATTGCTTCATTAATTCCGAACGTTTACCCGATTTCATTCTAAGGAAAACAATTTTCACGAGTCAACAGTTCGTGTTTCCGTGTTCGCTTCGCTGGAAGCAGTGTCACTATGCCCGTCATCACTTCTATCGTTTCCAACCCGACACGTGTTGATAGGAATTCATGAATACATTAAAATGCAACGCACTGGACATAGGATAATGCGAATAAACATTGAATATTAAAAACATTATTTATAACCATTCAACGTTTTCGAACTGAACGGTCGACTTCCTGTAAATTGTGCCTTTTTCCTTATCCTCGGGAGAACGTTCAAGATATTGAATAAAAAATTAGGAAATCGCCGGATTGAATGTTGCTTTTATTTTGAGTTTCGATTTAGAATTTGCTTTAAATTATTTTAAAATATGGTGGTTTTAACATTAAACATATCGACACATTGTACGTACCTATTCTTATCGTAACTAGTCAATTAACAGGTTATAAAATAAAGGTAAACGAGTTAAACGACAAACTTCTTTCAGTCGAAACAGAAACGAAATGAGACACAAACACGAATGAAAAGAAACGCGGAGTTTCTAATAACGAAAATAACGAAAGAGGTACCATTTCTAGCGATCTGAATTGCACAGAGTATTGGTTAAATTGGAACTCTATAATTCAAATTCTTAGATTGCATGTCAGAATATATATGGTAAAATTTTGCAAATACGTCAATTAGTATTTGATTACCTCCGTAGGAGATACTCGAAATGGCAACTTTGCATATTAAGGTGCGACTGCAGACGTTTCGCCGTTGGCCTGGTTACTCTTTCAATATTTCCTGGTGTCATTTGAGTCTGATGGAAACTACCTGTATTTAAAGTACAAAATTCACTTTTCAACCCTTACGTTGTCAACCAAGATATCTGCATTTAACCAAATTGTAGTAGTAGAATATTTTTAGGTAAATTCTTTACTTTCGAAAATCGGTGTAAAAATGTTCATGGGAACATTTCACAACATTTCAAGTACTAATTGATCCCTGAAGTTAGTTGCAGTACTTATTAAATCTCCTTCGTGACTTTGAATAAAAACTTCTCAACAGTTGATGTTTTTATGTAAATGAATATTTTACTTCGTATTTCCCTTGAGTGATATTTTGATTCATTAGTTCTTACACGTTAAACGTATAATCCTAGATTTTTTCAACGATGCTCTTTGCTACCAACGCATTTCGCTGAGTATCAGTTTTTACAGCTACAACGCAATAATCATGTGAAACGTTGAGAAACATTCTACGTTCAGGTCTATCCACTTTCTATTTCAAGAATATCGATACGAGAAAAGAGGAGAAGAGAAACTTGAAAGTATATTTCGAAATATATGTTTTCTGAAAATATCGCTCATTCAAAATCTAAGTTATTAGTCGCAATGTGAATTTTGCGAAAATAAAACTAAAGTTGAAGGAGATATTATGTATATAAAAAATAAATTGAGAAGAAGTGGAAAAAATAGGAAATAAATAGTAAAGAAATAGAAAAGAAATATATATGCACATAAAACTGGAATGTCAAATTATTCCATGATTCATCGAAGCATTTTACAATTTTGCAGCAAAGAGAAAGGTAAGTTTGAAATGTCCTTTGAGGCTAAATATCACTGTAGAATTCCAAGATGATGCTGCGTAACAATCAGTAATTAACTAACTAAACAGATCTGACTCTTGTATTCTCGCGGATAGACAGTCCGCGTCGAAGGACATACTACGGTCCAAGATAATCGACGATATGTGCCGTTAAGAGGGATTCGATATCAATGAACGACGTGAGTTACACAAGCGTTCGAAGGCTAGCTCGTACTATTAAGAAAGAGAAAAAAAAAGCTGAAGAAAGAATGATACCATCATCTTCGGTGGCCTCTAACAAGTTTTGAAATTAATTCTCTTCTCGCTTTTCGGTCTCCTCTGTCTTTCGTTCACTGCCTATTTTTCTCGTCTCTCTTTCTCTCGTCGCTTAGTGTATACACGCTAATAGCTGAAACGCGTTAGGAGAGTTCCGTGTCCTCGAAAAATCGTCGACGTGCAAAATCCGACTAGCCAGGCGTGTACTGAAGGCGATAAACCGCTCCGACGTGACTCAGTTTCTCAAGTACGCGCGTTAGAAGCAAACAAAAAAGGGTGTCATTTATTGGAATATTTGCGGGGGCACGGTGTTCCGACGACAACGTCACACGTGGGGAACACCGACGGAATTAATCGAATCGTTCCGTGTGGGTTTGACAACAGCTGATTTCATTCGGCGGATTTAATTCATCACGCGTCACTTTCACGCGCGGGAACTCGTCGGTAATCAGGTAGTTATTATTTAACCACGCACGGTTGTTTGAATTCATAATTTCGGTTGATGAAATATAAAACATAAAGTATAAAATACAAAATATAAAATATAAAATATAAAATATAAAATAAGAAATAAAAAATAGAAAATATAAAGTATAAAATAGAATATAGAATATAGATTATAGAAAATTGAGAATAAAAATATAAAATATAAAATAGAAGATAGAACACATAAAGTACAAAATATAAAATAAAGTATAGAGTATAAAATAGAAAATAAAAAATAGAAAATACATTCATCGTATTTTTTGCCAATCTGAAAGTTAGGAGATGTCACAAATGCATAAATACCAGCAACCATTCATTATTTTACGGCGTTCCTCTATCTCACCTCAAAGCCTGTAGAATATTTGATCAGACAAGCGTTCGCTGATTCCTCTTTATTAAACATAGTCTTTTGAAAGCCACGGTCACGAGTCGAAAAGAAATTCCGATAAAATAAGCAAATTAAACACGTACGAGCGTTAGAAGGTAATAAGACGAAGGTTTCACGGTGCGGTCACACGAAACGTGGAAAGTGTGTGCCCAAAAGTTAGCATCGACATGTCGAAGGTAAACACCGGTTTAGACATATTCCCTCTTTCTTTTTGTTCCTCCTCCTTTTGTTTTTAATGGGAGACCACCGACGTCGCGGGCCGCTGGCATTAATATTTCGGCTATGTAGCATTGAAACTGTTCGATAATCAGATAAACTTGAATGCCAAGCCGAGATACCGATTAATATTCCAATGGTTAATGATACGGCTTGATTGATTTCATTCCTTCAGGCAGTTTTTACAAATCGCCCGGCAAAGATCTAACAATATCAGTATTCGTTAACGTGTATTTAAA